GCCCGTAGGCCGCTGTCCTATGGCTGCCCCCACTGGGAGCGAGCCTCAGGTCCCTCTGTCCCCGGGTCCTTTCGTCCGCCTCAGCACAGCCATACTGCAAGTCCTTTCGGCCCCTTCACAGAGTGCACATGGACGTCTTGGACACTCAAAGGCAGTGGCTTCTGTTCACCCTTTTCACATCCTTCATGCCTGACGCGGGCTCTGTCCCCAGCAGGCCCAGCAGGTTGGTGGCCCCGGGGGCCCAGCTATCAGTAAGTGTGGCTAAGCCCAGCTGCACGCTGACACTGGGCGTGGGAATGCAGAGCAGAAGCCCAGAGTGTGCTCCAGGGAGCCAGAGCCCGCCACAGGTGTAGCCTCCGCAGCCTTGGGCCTCCTTCCACGCCGGCTGCCCAGCCCCTTTCCTGGGGACGGCCTGGCTGGATCCTTGGGAACCGAGGCTCCCGGCTCTTGTTTGCCTCAGCTAATCTCGAGAATGCGCTTGTTTTCCATTTTGGTTTGGGAAGTGCTCAGCAGCCCCCTTGGCACCGATAGAACCGAGGTGGAGGCCGTGGGAGCCGGGGACACTGATCCCAGCGTGTCCTCCTGCGGGCTGGCTGTCTTGCTTCCCCCGTGTTTCTGTTACCTCCCACCTCCATTTCATCCTCTCCTCTAAGTTCCCGACAGCTGTGGAAATAAATGTCCCGAATTTGGATAATTGAACCACCTCTCCTTCCTGTGAATTTCCTCGTGGTAGAGAGGGCCAGCAGCAAACCCCTGATGATCTCTATTTACAGGCGAACCTGGAGTTCAGAGAGGCTAAGTTAGTGGTGACGGCCACACAGCCAATGAGAGCAGAGCGGGAGGAGAGCCCAGGGCCCTCCCAGGCCATTCCAAACTCCATCTCCTGGACAGACACCACCTGCTGTTTGCCATCTTCCCCGGACTATGAGTTTTTTGAGAGATGAATCCTGCAATATGTATCTTTCTTTGCCCAGGCCTGGCCCAGCATCCAGGTAAGCAGAAGACAGTGGCTGAATGGTGGGTATCGAAGAATGAACGGCGGGGGTCAGGAGCTCTACGAGGTGCCTTTACACGCATTGTTCTCGGTTTCCGCAACATGCACTAGGATTCGCTGCTGCTCCCGTTTCATAGATAGGACTGCAGGGGCTCAGCGCGGTTAATGGTTGCCAAAAATCATAGAGCTGTAAGGTGTTGAGGTGAGACTCAGACCCACGTGGCCTGACTTTAGGACCCACACTGGCTCCCAGAACAAGTGGGATATACGGCCTGGAGAGGAAGGACCGTGGGCAGAACTGCAGGACCTCTCCTTCTGCTGCGTTTCCTGTGATCTCTGAGGCTGCACAGGGGACCTGAACTCCCTAAGTGAAGAAGCAACTCTCAGCCCCTCTCTGTTCTCCTTCTAATTACAAATTCACAAGCATGTGTTTGTTGAATGACTGAATGACCACCATCCAGCCTCTTCAGTCCAAGGGCTGGTCTTCTTCAACTCTGGGGTCTGCCCTTCCCTCCCAACCTAGAATGCTGGCATTTCTCGGGGTGCTCCCTAAGCTCTCTTCTCATAACCACAGCACTGGGAGTACTCTGTGATTTCATTTCTAGCCATCGTTTTGGTTACCCCTTAGGTGCCGGCACCTCCAATGCCCATATTTTCAGCTCAGACCTCCCCTCTGAGCTCTGGAACTTCCCAGGCTTCCATCTGGATGACCAACAGACACTTCACCTCAACATTTCTGACAAGCATGAGCGTGATTGCTTCCCACCCCAGACACAGGGGACAGGATTATCATGTGCTCAGGTGTCCAAGCCCCCAAACTCAGGCTCAGCCTTGACAACCCCTCACCCTCACTTTTCCACATCTAGTTTCTCCGAGTTCTGATGCCAGACAAATACGGTCACTCTAGTTTATCCTCTGGATTGCTCAGTAACTTCCCAACAGATCCCGTAAGCTCCAGTCTTCCGTCTCCACGCCATTCATCCTCAACAACACAGTAAGGAAATCTAAATCACATGTCCGATCATATCACACTCTTGATTAAAACTCAGACTCAAAGAGAGGGTCCAAATGCTCACCGTGACAGCCAAGACCCCCAGATATAGCCCTGCCAACCTCTGCAGTCTCGACGTCTCCCCACCCACAATGTAGTGAACTCCCGGCGTGAACATTTGCTGCTCCTGAAGTGGTCAGGGGGCCTCTTGGGGCTGGAACTCTCCTCCTTCACCTCTGCACTCGCATGATTGGCATTGAAGTTTAAGGTCCCAGCTTGAATGCTGTCTCCTCCTAGACATGATCCCCGATCTTAGAGGCTGAGCAAGGGTTCCTCGTCTGGGGTCTCCTAGTCCCTTGACCCTCTTTTTATTGCAGTGGCTTCCACGTGGATCCCGTAAGGGGAGGGGTAACATCCGATGCTTTGATGTCCTCAACACTGGCACTGGGTGAAGGGGATGTATGCCTGCCAGTTGGACAGAATCCTGGGGCACTGGGAGGAAGGCGGCCTCTTCCCTCTGTTGTGACAGCCGGGTGCATGGTCTCTCCAGCCCAGTTCATTCTTTCAACTAGGGAACAAGGGACAAGCCCCTCACCCCTTTGGCAGCACGTGCTGCAGCCCACTGTGCCCACCTCTTAAAGTCCCCAGGACTGTATCAATACAGAGTGCCCAGGGAACCGCATGTCACCCTGGGTCCCATTTCAGGGTCCTGAAGTAACTCTCCCCCAACCATATCCAAAGCCTCAAATCTGTATCTTAAGACTTAAGAAACTTCACTGGAAAATTAAAGATCAATATTAGGTGTCAAATCCCTTCAAGAGAAGGGACATTAAGGTTAACTTCACAGTCAGGTATAAATGACCTGCCAGTATGCTTACCTAGGAACAAGTGGGGGTAGGTGAGACAGTCAGGAGCAGGAATTCTCTGACTGTACTGAAGGGAAAAGGAAGGGACTCTGTTAGGCTGCCAGGCCCACCCCATACCAGGGAGCACTCTGTTCTCACGTGTGCCACTCACTGGTGTGTGACTGTGTGTGTGTGTGTCCTCTAGTACAGCTTCTAGAAGAATTCTCTCGTTACTCTCATAACCTCAGCAAGTAGCTGGGCATCCAGGCGATGCTAGTAAGTGCTTGCGGCTGACTTGTTGTCCCAGAGGTTGGCCTATTAGTCGCTCCGGCTGAGGGTTCCCCCATCAGCCATCTTCCCCAGGAAATGGAGAAGTGTTTGGGGCAGGAGGAGAGATCCTTCCTGGTTTCCCTTTTGGCTCTGATGAACTTCTTTCCCATGAACTCCCTGCCCTTCTGGCAGCCAAACTAATAATCTAATAGAGCAGCTCCTCGGACTACAGGGAGTAGCTGAGGGGTGGGAAAACCTACCAGTGCCTCCAGGGTTCCAGCCTTTTGCTAGGGTCAGAACCTCTCGTGGGAACTGTGAATTCCCTAGAGATGGCCCAAAGCATCTTCTCAGTTCCCACCCACCCCTTGGTGTCTTGCATTCATTCAACGAATAGTTACATACAAGTATATGCCACGCACTGGTCTAGGAGCTAGGAAAGCAGACAAAAGTCTCTGCCCTTACTGAGTTTATACTCTAGTGATTTCTGAGGGCGGTGAATATAGGGGAGGCAGCAAGGAACAAAAAACAAGATAAAACGTAATTATGTGTGAGATAGTGGTAAATATTAAAAAAAGGGCAAGAAAAGGAGATATGAAATATCTAGTTGGGGGAATGTTGAAATTTTAATGTCCTGGGAAGGCCTCATTGAAAAGATAATTTTAAAATTTACTTATTTTTATTGTGTTAAGTATAATATAAAATGTAACATTTTAAACTTTTTAAAAGAGATTTTTGCCATAAAGGGTGTGAGGGAAAGTGAGAAATCACCCCCAGGGGGAATGGCCATGCCACAATCCCTTCTCCTTCATTCTCCTCCTGGGATCTTGGGAACACACACACACACACACACACACACACACACACATGCCTGATGTGATTTTCCAGTCACTGGGTCTGGGACTCAAACCATGGTTGGCCATATGGGAGTCCAGCAATACAACCATGACACTATCTGTTGGCTCCAACATTTTAAACATTTTAAGTGTACAGTTCAGTGGTTTTAAGTATGTTCATATTTGTGTGTATCCATCACCACTCTAGAACATTTTTTTATTACAATAAGGCAGAACTATTTTTAGAACACCTTATACTGAAATTCTGTATGCATTAAATAATAGCTACCCATCTTTCCCTCAGTCCAGCTACTAATACCCACTGTTCCACTGTCCATGTATGAATTTGACTACTATATACTTTATATCAGTGTAATAATATACCACATATATATCTCATATAAGGCAACTCTGAGTACCTCATGTAAGTGAAATCAAACAGTGTTTCTTTTTGTGTGTTTTTCTGGTACATAACATAATATCATCCAGGTTCATCCATGCTGCCGTACCTGTCAGAATTTCATTCCTATGAAGGCTGGATAATAGTCTGTTGTATATATGAACACATTTTGTTTATCCATCCACATGATGATGGGTAATTGGGTTGTTTCCACCTGCTGGCTATTGTGAATAATGCTACTATGGGTGTTGCTATATAAATAATTGTTTGAGTCCTTGCTTTCAATTCTTCTGTGCATACTCCCAGAAATGGGAATGCTGGATCATATGCTAATTCAGTGTTTAATTATTTGAAGAACCACTATATTAATTTCCACAGCAACCACACCACTTTATATTTTCAGTACAATTGCACGATAGTTGCAATTTCTCCACATCCTTGCCCCCCCCCCCAAAATGTATAGTACTCATTCTAATAGGTGTGAACTGGTATGTCATGAGGTTTTAATTTGCATTTCCCCAATGATTAATGATGTTGTCTTTTCACATTCGTGTTTCATATGTATCAATATTTTGTGTATACCAATTGAATATCTTCTTTGGATAAATGGCTCTTCAAGTGCTTTGATCACTTTTGAGAGGGTTGTTGCTTTTTTGTTGTTGAGTTTTATTATTTATTTATATATTCTGGATATTAATCCTGTATCAGATAAATGATTTGCAAATCTTTTTTCTCATTCCATAGGTTGCTTTTTCTTGATAGTATCTTTTGATACACGAAAGTTTTTCAGTCTTTAAATTTTTATTGACATATAACAGTTATACATATTTGTGGGGCTCCATGTAACTTTTAGTACAAAAATACAATGTGTAGTGATTAAATCAGTATGTTGCAAAGATATCTTCACCCCGACATTTATTGCAGCACTCTTCACAATAGCCAAGATATGGAAAAGTTCTTAATTTTGATAAAGCCCAATTTGTCTGTTTTTTCTTTTGTTGCCTGTGCTTTTGGTATTATATCCAAGAATTCATTGCCAAGTATAATATCATGAAGCTTTCTCCCTATGTTTTCTTTTAAAAGTTTTATAAGTTTAGGCCTTACATTTAGGTCTTTGATCCATTTTGACTTAATTTTTTATATATAGTGTTAGGTAAGTTTCTCTGTTCATTCTTTTTCATGTAGATATTCATCTTTTCCCAATATCATTTGTTAAAAAGGTAGTCCTTTCCCCGGTGAATAGTCTTGATACTTTTGTCAAAAATCACATGACCATATGTAGGGGGAAAAGATAATTTTTTCCCACATATATGTAAAATAAAGATCTAGAGGAAATAAGAAAACTAGCCATATGGATGTTGGGCATCCATCTGGAGGAACAGCCAGTGCAGACCTTGAGGGGAGACATCAAGAAGGACAGGTTTGACTGGAGTGGAGTGAGTGAGAGGGAAAGGGTAGGAGGTGAGGTAAGAGAGGTGGAGGGTAGGAAGAGGGGAGAGAACCATGGAAGATCTGTGGGTAACAGAGAGGAATTTGCTTTCACCCTGAGCAAAATCGGAAGTCACTGGAGTGGTGTAAAAAGGAATGACACAATCCTATTTGTGCTTCCTTCCTGGCCCCCACATCGAAGATAGATTTAGGGGTCTAAGTCATAAGCAA